ACACACACACACACACACACACACACACACACACACACACACACACACACACAGCCTGTAGACCCAGCCTTCCAGTGGCTCCTAGCTTTGGAAATGAGGTCCTGAGAGAGCAGGCCTGGGGGTGTCGGGCAGGGCTGGGACCAGGCCTCTGGGCCTGGCTGGCTTCCGGCCAGCACCTTTTCCAAGACGTAAGTGAGTGCTTCTTGCCTTCCCAAGACAGAGAGGATCAGGGGTGCAGAGACGGGGCAGGCCCCTCCCATGGGGCCCCCCTGTGCGCTTGCCAGGCCTGGCTATAGGGGCACCAGCTTCCCTCTGGGGGAGCCAGCCTGAGGTTGCCAAGTCAGGCTCTGGAGCCCTCCGCCTGGGTTCAGATCCGGGTTTTCCTGCTCACCATCCCAGAGGCTTTGGGAGACAGATGGGGCTCTTCACGCGCATAAAGCCACAGTCTCAGGGGCTCACCGGGGCAGGCCCACCCTGTCCTATGGGGCTGCAGTGAGTCCACATGACTGTCGCAGTGAGTGAGTCCAGAGGCTTTGGTCAGCACCCCGTGGGTGCTGTCTGTGAAATGGGGCTGTCCAACTAAATGCACATACTTTGGACACATCAGGAGAAGGACCGGGAACGACAGGAAGGCCCTTTGTGAGCTGGACGGACACAGGGCTGCGACGGTGGGCTCAACCCTGCGAACAGTTGTGAGGACGGCGCAGGGCCGGGCGGGGTTCACCCTGCGGTATAGGGTTAGAGCTGATCGGCGACGTCTAACAGCAGCATAGGGGAGCCAGGGAGGCCCTGGTGACACCGTGAATTACCAAGTTCAAACCCACCAGCAGCTCCACGGGACAAAGATGAGGCAGGGTGCTCCCATAAAGAGTCACAGCCTGGGAATCCACAGGAGCAGACCTGCTCGGCCACAGGCTCACTGTGAGTCAGACGACTGGAGGGCAGATTGGTTTGGGAATGATGTGGGATCCTGTGACTAGAGCAGCCCAGAAGGTGAGGTGGGCCCCGTAGGTTTATGGGACGGAAACTCCGGAAGGAGGGTGTGCTGAGCTGTTCCTGGGAGGAAGGGCTGTCTCAGGGGACTGAGGACGTGGTCTAGAGCCTCCACGGTCGGAGCAAGTCACAAAAACAAACAAAACAATTTGTTGCAAGGAGCGCTGTCTGGGGTCACAAAGCAAGGCTAGGGCTCCACTCGCCCCGCAAAGCCACATCCTTGGCTGCCGGCCTGTCGTCTCCGCGTGGTTGACAACTGCTCTCTTGGCTTTGCTCTTTGGGCATGAGTGCTGAGCCTGAGCCTAGCACCTGCAGGCAGCAGGGCCACCACTCTGCCCCCACCGCGACCCCCGCCAAGCTCAGCTTGGCCCTATCTTCCTGCTCCATGGTTTCCCCCCAAAACGCAAACACATTCGATGGATGCCGATTCTCTGAGTTCTGAGTTGGCCAGCCCCTGTGGACCCCTGAGACTGTAGCTCTTTATGGGAACACGCAGCCTCCTCTTTCTCCCAGAAAGCGGCTGCTGGTCCTAACTGCTGGCCTCAGGGTTAAGGGCCAGTAGGTAACTCCCTGTGCCACCAGGGCTCTGTGTCCCCTTCTTCTGCCCGGGTTTCCCCCATGGCCCTCTTTCTGTTCACTATCTCACAGTGCACCCCCCTGCCCCACAGGGCATGAGCTCAGTGCCCCCCGCCCCCTCCCCCATCTGACAGCCACCTACTGGACCTGGGGGGCGCAGAGCTCGTCATGAGAGTGTGAAAGGCAAGGGTTGGTTAGGCCTCAGTGGTGCCGGCTGGGATGTCCCCTCCCATCCGTTCGCTGTGCCTCACCTGGTCCCCCACTTTGTGAGCAATGGGGGTGGCCCCTTCCTCCAGCTCTGCGTCACTGAGAGGGCGGATCCGAAGGGCTACCTGTGGGTGGGAGGCTGCCGTGGTTCTGTCCCAAGGAGAGGCCCCCGCCCAGCCAAGGTCCCCTTCCCTGGCTACACAGGCACAGAGAGGTGCTGTCACTGGCCTAAGGCCACACAGCTGCCCTGCTCTGGCCGACGTGCTACCCCATTCTCGGGGCCACTGGCCTTCCACCCCCAAATCTCCCTGAACCCCCTGGAGCTGACAACCCTCCCAGTGGTCCTGACTGAACTTTGTCTCTAGCCTGCCTGCTGGCAGTGGGGCAAGTCCCTGGCCTCAGTTCCCCCAACTGCCACAGGGTCTCTGGGACTGGGCTCCCCAGCACATGGGCCTGGCAGGCCCCTAAACTCCTCAACTGCATAGCAGCCTCGAAACCATTGAAAGCAAGCCCCGCAGTAGCCGTAGAGTTGGCTTCTGCTCAAGGTGACAACTCCCTCGTGCCAGAGTGAGGCCATCCTCCACCAGGGTCAGGGTGAGGGTCAGGGGTGGACTTTCCTGAAGTAGATCACCAGGCCTTTCTTCCAAGCCCTCTCTGGGTGGACTTGACCTTCGGGCTAGTAGCCAAGCAGGTTCCTCATTTGCACTCCACCCTTCCCTACCCCTGGGATCCAACCAGAGGCAGGGCAGTGGAGTCAAAGGGTGGGGTGGTGGGGTACAGAGAAGAAAGAGTTCTTGGTCTCAGCGAGACAGGGGAGGGGGACGTGGGCTGAGGGTCCCTGGGTCAGAAACGGGCACTCACCATGAGCTGCTGGTCCTTGGGCTCGGTGGCGGTCAGTTCCCGTGTGGCCGGGCTGCCCCGGGCGGGGGAGGGCATGTGGCTGGCTGGAGTGGACTTGCTCTCACCGTTCTTAGGGTGGGGCTGGGCTACAGCAGAGCAGCTGCGTCACGCCCCGCCCAGGTGACATCAGCCGCCCAGGGAGTTGGATCCGCCTGCCTCTTCCACTGGGCCCAAGAGCATAGCAGACCGATCGTGAGGGCGGCCCCCCCAGTGGCGTGTGCACCCCGGGGACCGAGCACCGGGCACCCTTCCAGCCTTCAGTCCCTCGGCAACCACCTGGTTTCCACGGAGCTCACCTATCAGGTGAGCCTGCCCGGGCGGCTGCAGGGCACCCACGGCAGAGGAAGCTGGAGAGGACACCCCGCCCCCCCCCACCACCACCACCAAAGGGCAGCCTCCAGTTGGGCTTAAACAAGCCAGGTCAGCTTGAAACTCCATCACTGCTGGGGATCGGTTCCTACTCACAGTGTGCAACTGCCCCTGTGGGTTTCTGAGGCAGTAAACCTTATCATCTTTCTCTTGCAGAGCGGTTGGTGGGCTTGAACCATTGACCTTAGTTAGCAGCTCAATGGATAACCCACTGGCCCACCCGGGGTCCCGGTCAGCTTCAAGTGAACTTGTATTTGCATTGTGCTAGAATGGATGTAGAGCTCTGGTGGCATAGTGGTTACACATTGTATTATTAACCACAAGATCAGTAGTTTGAAACCAGGTACTCCTCAGGAGAAAGAGGAGGCTTTCTACTCCCGTAGTTAGCAACTGTTTTGGAAACCCACAGGGACAGTTCTACGCTGTCCTGCGGGGTTGCTTGCTGAGCGGACATCCACTTGATGGGGAAGAGTGGGTTGGATGGAGGCCCTGTCTGCCCACCAGCTGGGCCCAGGACCCGGTATTTGCTGCTCAGACGCTGTGCTCAGCTTCTCCACAGGAGCCGCCCACCCTGAGCACCAGGGTCTTCCCAGCCCAGGACACACACACAACCCAGAGGCAGCAGCTGGTTTCACTGTGACCGTCCAGAGCCCACAAGCCCAGCCCTTCCCTGCCAGCCCCGCGGCCTGAGCCTGGGCTGAGGGACTTTGCAGGAACAACCACGGTGGTGCCTGGTTTCCCAGGGCCTCGAACCAGTTCTTCTCCATGTAGTAGTCTCAGCCAGGGAGCAAAAGCCAGGGTGGACCCAAATTTGCAAGACATGGGCATAGAACAATAATGGGAACTGGGAAGAGTGAGCGGACTCCCCCACTAGAAACTCATCTCCTTGCGTATGCTTTGGGCTGTTAACCGCAAGGTCAGCAGTTTGAAGCCACCAGCCGCTCCGTGGGAGATGGGGTCACTCCCAGTCTCAGAACCCACGGGGCAGTTCTCCCACCCTCGAGCCCGAGTCGCTGACTGAATGGCAGCTTCCCCAGCGCCCGAGGGCAGTGACACTGCACGGCTGAAGTGCCAAGGGTGGCAGTGCGCTGATTGCTCTGTGCAGAGGGCTCCGTCTGTTTACCCCAGGATGCCAGCCCATTTGGTTGTTTGAGAGCCTGGGGGGGCCCAAGCCATTCAATGCTCAACTAGTGGCCAAAGGCGAGCAGCCAAGCCTGCCCAGAGGCCCTAGGACAGGCTTGGCCACCTGACACTGGGTCTCGTCCAAATGCCCAACAGGCCCGGTGATACCGTGACCCATTGCACCGTACCTCCAGCACCCACATGCTCCAAGTGACATGAGCCTTCACCATATTCCTCTCCGTGCAGGGGTGGTCTCGGAGCTTGACCATGGAGGCCAGTGCCCACCTACCACCCCTAGCCCTGGGCTCTGCCCCAACACAGGAGGCA